CCCTGTCTCAATGACTATTCACGAAAGACTCAATCATGAGTCGAACTCAAACCCTATCTAGGATCGAGTCGCGAATAAGGCTAAGAGCCGTGTATTGCAACAACAAACAGAAAAGGGGGGCTTCAAATGGAAAGAACTCTACAAAGAGATGCAGGGACACCATGAATATAGCTCTGACTAACAATATGCATAGTAGATCCATGTTGTCGCTTGTTGTCGACGTCGTATGGTATTGTTAACGTCGTCGTCGTCGTCGTCGTCGTCGTCGTCGTCGTATTGTGCTCGATACATCGTACGGGTATCGCTGGTGTGAGTCGCGGCTTGTTTAAGGGAATGTTAGGGAATGTTTCAGACTTAAGGGAATGTTTGGAGGGCTTAAGGGAATGTTTCTAAGGGAATGTTTAAGGGAATGTCTAAGATTTAAGGGAATGTCTAAGATTTAAGGGAATGTTTAAGGGAATGTTTCGATACTGTGTTCAGTCGTGCCAATTTTCAATTTTTTTTAAATCCTTGCAGAAACCGTCGCACGGTCCAGGTGCTTGCCTACCGTATCGCAGTCTACCCACCTGTGGCTGGCTAGTAGCTACTTTAGCTTGGTGCCAGAGCCATCCTACATGTATCATAGTACTCTATTTTAATAGTATCAAGCATGGAATAATGATTTGGTAATTTACATTGCCGCAAGACATGCGGCTTCATATTGGCTTCAAGAAAGCTAGCTAGTTGTTCCCGTCTTTCTCTGTTCCATCGGCTTGTTCCAAGGCAGCAATATCTGCAATGTAAGAAAGCTTGGGATAGTGCTTATCCAGATATTTGTTTCCTTCCACCTCTATGTTTCCTTGTGATGGATCCTCACCGTAAACGTCCTGAATAGCGTCTGCAGTGTCAAGCGCAGCAGAGATCGATACATTGAGATATTGAAGATTGTTAGCATGACTTGGACTGGTTGGGGATTTTTTCCAAGTGGATGACAAGGACTTACCAACATATTCCATGCCACTAGCAAGGTAAATAAATCAGGCAGAATTTTTTGTCCATGGAGGCGATGCAACGCAAGCAAGTTAGTCATGACTGTCCCTGCTGCTACCAAAAACAGAATGCTTTATACCAAAACCACTCACCTGATCACCTCCGCAAAGGGACTAAATCCTTGATTATCCAGAAATGCATTGCCATTCTTTCGTGTATTCACAAACAGCTGTGTTGTCCGTGTATTTGGTCCGGCTGTAGCAAATGAAATGGACCCCCTCTTGTTGGATACTTCGACAGGATCATCGCGAATTGGTTTGTTGGTGCCACGAGTCTTTTTGGGATCGCCAGAAATTCCCCATTGTACCATGAAATTTGGAACCACTCGAAAGAATTTTGTATCCTTCCAGAAACAGCGGAAAATGAAAGATAGACGACAATGAAAGATTTCAGGGTGAGAAGATTTTATGAATGAAAGGGCAGAAGCAGTCCATGAATTGTACCGTATGGATGCTCCACCGACTCCAAGAATCGAGTTACTTTATCTTGCCAATCCATACCTTGTAGAATCCTTGATCCATGAGAGAATGAAAATGAGCAGCTCCCAGCGGTGCCCATTCAGGATGCGTCTGAATCACAACTTCACCAGCTGACCCATCCTTGAGGTTTGCCAGATTCAGCTTGAAGGTTCTCCCTTTATCGTCATTTCCCTCTTTCACCTGTCTCTGACGCAGGGAAGCACCAATGGATTTCCCATTACTGTCTGGAGACGTTTTGGCCAACAAAAACACGGAACCCCCGGCCAAGCCCAGCAGGAAGATGCTCCTGAGAACACCCCAAAGATGCTCGCCAACCTTGGTGGTACCCGTCGTTCGTTTCGCTTTGCCCATTCTTGTGGTGTGGTTGTGAATTGTCGGAATATTAAGAGAAAATGACACAGACTGTCAAAGCCCAGATAACAAACAAACAAAGACAGATAGTCACTAAAATAGATAGTCTAAACCCAGATACACCGAATGCAAGTCGTGTGTGTTTGTGTGTTCGTTGGGCAGACCGCTCACTGAATACTGAATATTTTGACGCCAGATGGCGCGAGATGAGGACGCACACCTGTCTTCTTCATCTGCGGTTGAACTGGTTCCGCTTCCACGGCAGCCTTAACAGTTTTCCACGATGCCTCCCACCACCACACAGCTGCACACCATGGTTAACTTCGGTATGTGATGGCCTCTTGCTAGGGCCACACAGCTGCACAGCAAAGCAGCCGCCTCATGGCTGATACCGTAGCCAGCTCTATTAGGACAGCTATTAGTAAAGGACGATGGTTCCTTTTAACTTTAGCGACGCCTCTTGGAAAAAAAACTGAACGTCTAATAACGGATTCAGACGAGATGTGCTTGAGGACGACCCACGAGCTAAGGCCCGGGTATTTCCCACAGTCAATTTAGCGACGCCTCTTGGAGATTGTCAAACTTCTTGCCGTCACTGCCCGGGTGGAAAAATTGGCATGGTCTCTCGGGAGCAAAGTATTGCGCGCACGAGAGCAACCTCAGATCCTCAGGCTGGCCTTTGCAGTTGTCCTAAGCTGCAGGATACTTGCGCAGGTTCTCGAGAGCTGCCTCCTGAATTACCCGGCCCAATTGAAGCAAGGAATAATGTCCAACTAGCTAGCCACCGCAAACAATCAAGTAACAAAACCCCGTTCGTATGCCATGCTCTGTACAAGCTCGGCGATGCACCAAGGTCTCCAATCAACTCGGACAAGGTTACGGGTATGACCCGACGAGTCTCCACGCAACACACAAAACCAAAGCAGTTGGAGGACGGAAACAAAGGAGATGCGTATTGCCCCTCCATAGAACATAGAAAAATCAGCACAGCCTGTAATATCAGAGGGCTGTACCAGCAGAACTGAAGAATTGCTTGCCGCGGCAAGCAATGATCAGGAGAACGGCATCATGAACTGGCAGTGGCTCCTCTTGCTCTTCCTCGGTGGACTGCGCCACCAGAACGCTGTTTCGGGACCACAGCCCTAGGTTAACTCCAGGAACCAGCTACTGGCGAACTAGATGGCTAGATATTGGGCACCAGCGGTGCAGCCGCCATGAACTCAAGATGCAGTAAAGATAACCACTAAACCGCGTTTGTGTAGGTCTATGCTTTCATTCGTTTACTATTAGAACATGATAATACTTCCTTTCTATGCGATCCTTGCAGCGCGCCCTGCCCTTGCCCCACCACGACGCCCTCTTGATGCGGCGGCCGTGTTGAGTGCAGGTCGTGGCTTTTGGGTTTCGGACATTCGATTCAGGTGTTCTACCAGTTGGTAGGCCGGCGAGGGATCGTTCTTTCGCAGCGCCACTTCATCGGCTTTGCCGAGGCGACGAGCAAATTGGACCGAAGGCCGCGATTGCATGCGAGAAACAACGGCCAATTCTTCTTCGGCAACAACTCCATTCTTCTTCATTAACCGTTGATGGGATAACACTGTCTTGATACATCTTCGCTTCATGTTAACCACCTTCTGGTCTAGGTTAGCCGAGACACTGCGTTCCATTCCCCTGGCGCAATCTCTGTCGTCCAACTGTGCGTACGCATCAATGTTGCGTTGGACAGATGGGTGTGGATTATCAAAGGTATTCCGCAGCAGAACCCCATACCCCTTCATCTTCCATTCTTGAACTTTTCGCTTCAGTCTTCGCTTGGTCTCTTCGAATTCTTCTTGGCTCACCCATTGGTCTTCCGGTGTGCACTCTTCCAGTTGATGTGTCGTGTTCAACTCCTCTGCGAAGCAAACGCTTCGTCTCGCGGTGGTCGATGGAGGCATGGTGAAAGATTTGTTGTGCGTCTGGCTAGTTGGCTAGTTGAGTGTTGTGATCTTGGCTATTGCTTGCTTGATGTAAAGCAAATCAATATTGTGGTTCGCTTGACGGATTGTTGGTGGCAACACTCTTCCAGCCAGGCAATAATACCCTGGTAAGCTTCTCAACTGTGGTACTTGCACTTCACCGTAGCTTGGTCTCTTCTTCTTCTTTGACTATTCTGCGTGCAAACTGCGTGGATACAGCATAGCAGGGCTGCAATACTGCAATACAACCTCTCGCTACTCGTGAACGCAATCGTAAAACACACACTTGGTGCTTGCATGATCGCTTGGAGGCAGCGCAAACAGAGCCCATCCAGTGTAAGACTAACTGGCATCTGATTTTTGGTTTCCGAGCCACATGAATGTTAAATGAAGGTTTCCCCGTAATAATGAAGTTACTATACAATGACTGTACAAAAGACTATGACTGGGCGGCTTAACATTATTTCGTTCAATCGTTCCACCGTACCACCATCCGATCTTGATCCATCCAGCAAACATAACACCAAAGAGAAACATTGGGTCATTGTACAACCGCACAACTTCATCAATCGATTACTGGAAGAACAGTGTGTGGATCTTTGTACAACCCAGCAAGGTGACTTTTCCTTATTTTCTGAGCAACCGAGCAACCCACCACCACAGAACCAAAGAGCAGCAAAAACAGAAGACGATCACCATTGCGAGCTTCCATGTGGTGTATGTGCCGTTATATCCTTTGGCAGCGGTAGCCAAAACCCTTCTGGTTCAGCGGTGCTAGAAGATTCTTTGTCATCAGCAAGGGCTCCCAGCAACTCTTACCTGCGGCAACTGTAAAATTAAGAGGTGTTGAGCACCTGTTGCCTTCAAAGGACTGAACATGACCATTAGGTGTACTGGGAGTACTTGACGGGAATGGCCAAGAGGGTGAGCGAAGGGTAAGGGTTGAGGGTTACTAACGTAACCTATCAATACCGCCAGAGCCATCTTTCTCGGGGGATTGGAGAGCAAAGGCTTCCGGCAAGTGGCAATTAGGGTTGTTGCCGTGGATGCGACTGGGCTTCACCTCAGGCGACTGGAGATACCCCGCTGTTATGGCAGCTCCTTGGCGCTGTCACTGGCGCTTTGGTGATGAAGGTTCTACCCATATTCCACACTGTTTCAGTGGCGGTGCGGGGAATTGGGACTGCCACACTGGTAATGTGGTTTAGTACAGGGTCTACCAGTAGGTGAATTAATGTCACTCACATGCTCTCATGGATACCGGTACCGGTAAGTACCAGCCTGGTACCATCACACTGGTAAGGATGTTGGGTTACTGTTATTACGTGTAGTCGCATGAATACCGGTAACGGTACCGGTAGCCGCATAGTGTGGCCGAACCACGGTCAGCACGAGGTAACAATGTTTCTGTTGCAACGGCAGAAGGATGCTCTACTTGAATTACAGTGACGAATGATTCAATCTAACAATCAAAAGTCAAGTTACTACGACCTGCTGTCTGATATCATGTTTATACTGTGGACCGCAGCTAGCTACCGACGCATTGAAAATCTCTGGTATTGTAGTTGGGGAGCGCAATAGATCAACGAGAAGATGGTAAAACACCAAAACAAATGCTACGCGGCAATACTCCATAGTGTAAGGCTCTGCCGCGTAACATTTGTTTGGCGATTTTGTCATGTTCCTGTTGAGAACAAGGACTCCCCAAGTGGCAACAGGGGTGAAATGGCAATTTTGGCGAAATGTGAGGTCAAAATGTGAGGTTAGTTTTAAACTAGATGGCCGACTCTCCAGTCACAGAAAGTCTTTGTTGATTCGCATTTAGTCATTGCATCCAAAGAAAATCGCATCCCACCAAGGGCATCCCTTTTCGTTCATGTGTGCACGATCAGTCAACATGTTGTTGCTGTTGACACTCCTCTCACAACACGTACGATCGATATTTGACCTTCCGAATGAAGTTTCCACCATGATGTCTTGCCTCTTTGTCAGATGGGATCCAAATTTGCGACCATGTTGATTGGTTGAGTGAGCCCAAACTTGCATCGGATTCAACGGCAAACGGCAGGAAGATCCCATCCGAATCGATCAGTCGGAGCCTCTTTTCTTCACTCTTCAGATGGCATCTCATTATTTTGACAATCGACACTTTACAGGGGAAACTCTTCTAAATCGCTCTGCGGCTCAATCAATCCATCCGACCATGACGATCTGCCGTTCCCTTCGTTGGCTTGCTTCGACCTTCGACCATGTGGGAGCTGACACCGTCCCCAGATCCATCCGAAGATCCAAGTCCTTTGATACAACCAGCCATAAATTCGATGGACGTCATTTGAAAAGCAAAGCTCTGTCCGAATCACTGCACGTTGTCGGCAATGGCCATCCGCCGTTCAGTCATTTGGATTCTTCTTGTTTGACTGCTTCTGCGCTCTGTGTTGTCCTCGTCGTCGGCGTCGCTGTTATCTTACAAGGATCCACGCTGGGAGCTTCCATCAGATTCCTTCCTCAAGCCTCCGTCGGATTCCACCATGGCGGGCAAGCGCAAGAACAAGAGTCGCACTCATCGGAAGAGCAAGAAGCACCGGTCCAAGGATGAAAGGGCTGTGTGGGCTCGACAGCAACAACAGCAAGCCGCCTTGTTGACTCATGCTCCTAATGTCAACACTGGTCCCTTCCACAATGAAGATATTGATGATGTGCTGCCTCCACCACCTCCCAGCGCTGCCGTCCTTCGCTCGGCTGCTCGCAAGCCAACACCCATGGAGCAACCGGATGATGAACGATTGAATGAAATCTTGGGTCCCCCTTCGGATGATGAGCCTCCTTCTGACGATGATGATGCAGCAGCAGCAGACCTTCGTCTTACTCCTGAAGAGATGGAATCTTTCCTGAGTCAGCAATCCTTTCTTCACCATGACCGTTCAGAGCGCATTGCAACTTACCACCTCTATTGCCGGGTGCACAACTTCCCTTCGGATTGGACTGGAAAGGGGAGTACTGGATTGGCCATCAAGGACGCTCTTGGGATGAAGACGCGGAAGCCAATCAAGAATATCTTCGGAGATATCAATTACTGTGCCAAGAACGACCTTGAGTATGTTGGTCAGCGATTCTATTCACGGTTCAAGCCCGTCAAGATTCCTGATGGCTCCAAAGCTGCTGAGACTATCGCTACTTTGATTGAGTCACGAGGAGACAGTCTCCGAATTGCCACTGACACACTCAACGAATGTCGAATTGATGATGATGTGGAGCCGTACTCTGATTCCGCTGTCCGTGAATTGGTCCAGCGTCTCCCAAGCCGGAAAGTTTCCATTCGGAAGATGAAGCAAGGGAACCACGACAAGAATTCTCCATGGGCTCGCCGCCGCTTTGCCTGGGTTTATCAGTTGCTACTTCGACTCGGCGTGGAGAAGGAGACGGAGCCTCATGACCTGTTCGAGCTTCCACCTTCCGTCCTGGAGGTGCCCGAGACTCTCTTGGACGAAGAGGAGCTCAAGTTATACGAGGAGGACGGGACTGTGCCGGTTTACTTTGATCCTCAAGCGCTGTTTGCTTATCGTTTTGGTCTGCAACATGTCGCTTTTTGGGATGAGATGCATCGGAAATGTATTATTGGAACCAGCCACGCACAAGTCGATCGTGATTATCAGCTGCAGTTTCTACGCGATGCGGATGGCAACTTGGATCCGAATGGGACTTACGATCAAGCGTCCCCTGCTCACAAACTGAACGTCAAGTTTGAGAAGGAGGGTCGTTGGAGTTTCGGAATGGCAATGGTCGTCGACGACAATGGTGGCAAGGAAGGATACGTCTTGGAACCTTTCGATTACACTACCAAGCTTCTTGTCTCCTTGAAGCAGTACCGCAAGCTTGTCAAGGAGGAGATTTCCCGTGTCAAGAAATTGGGTGACCGTCCAGCCAAGTCCAATGGTTGGTTCGAATCGGCTCGTGAGAATGACAAGCTCTACATGGATGACTATCTTTGTCAAGGCATGATCAAGGGATGCGCCAAGACAATCCTCGGGAAGATGAAAGTCTTTGAGATCCACACCGTCCGTGATTTTGCTGAGGCCTCCGACAGTGACATTACTCGAATGTCAAATGGTGTCAACGATCGCGGCAAGAAGATGGCAAAAGTTGGAGCAAGCGTCAAGCGACTCAAAGGATGGCGTGAAGAATGTCGACAGGGCATTGAGGAAATTCCCGACGACATCGATTATCGCAAGGCAAAGAATCCGTACCTGTCTCGTTACGGTGATGAGTGGCGGCATTTCATCCAGAAAGCCAAGGGAGTCTCAAGTACTGTGTGTGTCACGAAACTTGTCAAGCACATCTACGAACAAACCCAAGCCCACTTTGAAGAGTTTTATCCAGACCTTCCGTCCAGTCGTTGGTACTTTTATCATGACGCTTTGTCCCAGATGACGAACAAGGAGTGTGTCGCTTGGATGAAAGAGCATGGCTACTACGATCACTGGCTGCTTCCTGTTTACGAGATGTCTGTGACTGGAGAATGGCGTGACGCTTTTCCTAGTGGCAACAGTCCCGAGATGATGCCGTGGGACACAAGCTGCAATAAGTATTTGAACGACTGTGTCAACCGTCACATTATCATGACGAGTCATTTGCCTGATGATGATTCTCGCAAGTTTACTATCTGCACGCCGAAGCGGGGGCAAGAGGCTTACATGCGCTGTATTGATGGGGCGCCAACCAGCAAACAGATCTGCACTGACATCCTCAAGTTCGCCCATGCTCTCAAGGAGATCTATCGAAACGAGGGAGCAATTGTCCATCGATTGGGTGACCGAACTGGCTCGCGTGGACAGAGTGCACGGGCTGCTTTGGCGGCTGACGGGAAGAAGGTGGATCGTCGTGGAGGACCTCGTTATCGTGATATCGAAAAGCAGATCAAGCGCATGAGGGATGTGTGGTGGCATGACGATGCGGAGTCTGTTTTGCGTGGAAGGGGACAG